GCGACAGGATACGTTCTGAATCTGAGGAGAATGAAAAATACATCCTGTTGAATTTTTGGTCCCTTGTGCAAAAATTGATTTAAAGAAACATTATTTTCAGATTTAGCTGATGCATCAAACACAACTCTCATTTTGGTTGTAGTGGATTGCTCTCTAATTACTGGATGATGAGGCATGTAATAGCATCTGCACAATTCTCGCTTCACTTCTGCAATTGGGACCCTTTCCATGTGGTTTAAGTGTTCATATTCCTTCATGAATCCCCGGTATTGGTCATATAATTTCACATTCTTACACAATTTTCTTTCCAACAAAAGGAACCTTCTTAAAGCCTTTTCTCTTGATTCACCCAGAAGCGGTCGATGTTGTCTGAATGGCAATTTTACCCAATACCTTCCATGGCTATCTCTGCCATGGTTATTCGAAAATAAACTTTCACAATCTTCGTCCTGTGTACAAAGATCCGGTGACGGCACAGATTCAGTTTCCCAGAATCTTTTCATTACGAATTCTAGTTCTGGTTCAGATTGTAAACTCAGGTTACAGACTTCTGTATTACTCTCCGATGTTCCCATGAGTTTTCCTAGAAGTACCCAACCTAGTCTTGTATTAATAGCCATTGGCAATCCTTCTCCGAGAGATATAGGGCCATTCAACATAAGTTCAGTGTATATATCTGCTCCCAATATCATATCTATTGGGGCTTGTCTGTAGAACTCTGGGTCTGCCAATTTGAGGTTCTTCAAAGTTGGCCAATTAGGGTCTTTCAACCTGAAGTTCGGAATTTCTGAAGTGAGCACTCCCGTGACTACTGCCTCTACCGAGAATTCCTCAGAATTATTCAGTGGACAAAATGTCACACTTACTGTCGATGAAGAATGCTGCACTGGTGTGTTTCCAACCCCTATAATCATCCGATCTGATTTCCTTTGGACAAGTCCCAATCTTTCGCAGCATCCTTTTGTTATCATGGTGACTTGGGAACCGCTGTCCAGTAGGGCTCTGCAGGTGCATAACTTTCCGAGTCCATTTTTTATCTTGATTCCAGCTGTTGCGAGTAGTACGTGGCTATCAATGCAGTTTGCCTGTTGAGTATTAGTCGAATTGATAGCACTTTCATGTTCCTTCGGAGTTGTGTTCTCAACTTGGGCCGAAGCGCCTTCCGTGCTCGGTTTATCATAATGAATCATCGTGTATGCTTCCCCTTGCATACTTTGCATCGTTGGTTCAGCCTACAATTCCATGAGAAATGGCCTTTCCTCAAGCAATTGAAGCATAATTTATGACTCTTTACTACATTTAATTTTTCTTTTAAAGGCATTTTGCAAAATAAGTTTCACATGTATAGTGGATGATGCTTAGATTTGCATAATATGCAAGTGTCCGAACTCTCAATTAGCATCCCGTAGCTTTGGCATTTGGGAAATCTCGATCCGGTGGTTTCTTCCTTTTTTGAACATTCCCTGACAGCACAAGACATGCTTCTCGCATGTCTGGAAATGAACGCTATGAACTTGTCATAAGAAGGAAGAGTGTTGTCCACTGACAGTTCCCAATCCAACCTTAGATTTTCACTCAACTTCTGCTGGAGGAAGTGCACCAGGATCACATCCACTAATTGATTTCTCTTCAATTCCATGCTTGGCCATAATTTTCACTTAGTAAAGGGAAACCCCTTATTAATCTGGCCGCTTCGCCTTTTACTGCAGAATTCAAATATTGTAACTTCTGTATATTAGTTAACCCTGGATGTGCATCGATGGTGGTGAGGAATAACTCTTTGAAGTTGATCCAAGTGCCCATATCTCCATCATATATCGGCAAGTCAAATTGAGGCAATTTTATATTTGCCTGAGAGCCATTTGGCTTTATGTCCGCTAGTTTGTCTTTGAGTTTTCTTTCATTTTCTATTTTTACCCTCAAGCTTCCAATCTTGTTAATTGAACTATCATATGCCTCACTTTCTTTATCTATATCAACTTCATCCAAAGAAAACAGCTCATCGTAAAGTTTCTCAATTTTTTCTTTGATCTCCTTTAATTCTTCACCCATTATTTCTAAGCGTACTGTTTCACTTGCCTCAATAATTGAATCCACAGTTTCAATAAATCCATCAATTCTCCTTATCTGGCAACGTAACTTTCTTTGGAGGATCCTTTCGTCTCGAGACATTTCGCAATTTTATTCTCGCTGAGTTTTTTCCTAAATTTCTTCTGTTTCAAATCCTAATCCAGATATCAGGGACCATGAATCGAATTGGCTTTGGCCTCCTGGCACTAAGGAGGAATCACCGCCTAATTCTTATTTTAACGCTGGTTTTAATTATATGCTTCTTGACTCAGCGAGCTAACTATAACTCCTTCAAACTTGAATAACTGCTATTGTCTCGTCTCACCAATTCTAATGACTCAACCTCGTATACTTTAATAACTCACTTTATTTTCTAAAAAATCAAGATTATATACATTTCTAAAATTTACGTAATTTAACAATAATTAACAAAAGTAAATTCTAACAATTTTGCATATTTAAGGCTGGAACAATATGCGTCTATAATAGTTTCGAATTTTCTTAATGTCTTTTAAATTAAATATCTATTTATGGATTGCTCTATTTTCAAAAAGGTTTAGACATATATGAACATTATTGAGCTAGAGTCACTTTAAAAAAAAGTATCAAATAACCTCAGTGTCTCTTATATATTTTATGTGGCAGACGAGAAGGCTACAGAGAGAGTCGTCTGCTCGCAATACCCAGAAACCGTTATAATATTAATGAGGATATCATGAATTATTTATAAAGTACGACGCCCTTCCCTTCCATTATAAGATGAGGGATCAATTGCAACAGATTACCTTCGAATTCTTCCGATATCTAATACCTTCGATATATTTTATTTTCTTTCTTTCTATGTCAGGATAAATATCTATATCTCATTGAATTTTATATTGAATATTGAGAAAATATACACATATATTCTTATAGTATTTTTAATATTTGACATATATTCGAATTATTCGATCGATTATTTGAAATATAACAATAAAATATATTAATACTTATTTGAAAAATAGCCGCTCTAATAGATATTGTTGTATTGCTAATGTAATATTATACGCAAGTAAAATACCAAATTATTATATATGATGTAACTATATAACATATTTATTTTTACATTATATATATTAGTAAATATAATTATTTATGTTATTTATACATATGTTAATATAATTCAGCATAATTTGAGAGTAAAACATGAAAACAATAAGACGCGAATGTTTCTTTTCACAAATAGATCAAACTTCTACTATCCTTACTGCGATGAAAAATATTGGGAGGGCTTGGTTCATCAGTGGTGAAACCTTCCTAGCGGTTTCGAAAATTTAACGATGGGAAGGTTCACCACTGATGAGTCAAGACCTCCCAATATTTGAAAAGAAACATTGGCGTCTTAATGTTTTTCATTTGTTATATATAGATTGCGCGTTATTGATTTGTATTAATTTGTGTGTAATTACAAAAAATATTATTTTATGTATTAATAGGTGTTGGTTTTTTATTATTATTTTAAATATAACTCTGTGTATATATGTTTGTATTATATTTGACCAGGAGTGCCTGGTCACGTGTGTGAATTTATTGTATATATATGGTGGTTGGATATAAAATAAGAGTTGAGCTTTTGTAACCAGTGCGTTTACATAGTTGGAATTTGGAAAGCCCGCTACATTTTAGAAGAACAATTTTGCGCTGACTATGCCTCTAGACTGAAGAGTGAACAGAAGAAAACCAGAGAGAAGAAGTTAGCGAACAATAGGGCTGGAGATAGATATAGGGCTGGAGTTTAAAGTTTGAACGGGGTTTGGGTTGGTATAAACATTCGACAGTCACGAGCCGGTATCGAATCCCGTATTGGGAACTTTTTTCTGAACTGAAATATTCTCGAATATCTTCCAATTCTTAAAAGAATTCAACTTCACCAGTGAGTGCAATTAACAAAACGGAACTCTGACAAAATTTCAAGTGCCAAAGTCGAACTGCGCTTTCTAAATGTGTAGACATATGATGCAATTGCTGTAAAACTGATCGCCAACTCCTACCCACCATGATTATTATGCCCTGTACGACTTTTACAAACGATAACTGAAAAGGTTTCTAATCAATTTTGAAAATTCCGTCAATGCTAAAAATACTAATATAATTAACAGCAAAAGTCAAAAATATAAATATTGTGATCACAAGTATAATTATGTAAAAGGTCTGGATATGCACATTTTGTTTTTATTATCAACAGCTAACCTTTTTTTAATTTTTTAAAATTATTTTCACACAAATTTTATTTTGTATAGTCGGAAAAGGCTACTCCAAAGATGGAAAATTATCATCCAGAAAATCAATGGTATTTTTAACTCCTCTCAGTTCAAGTCTAAGGTAAACTGCAGATATGGATTCGAAACTGGAGTGGAGCTGTCATCCCTTCCTTTGCCGAAGAGGCAATGGCTCTTCAACTATGGTGGCCACTGGGTGAAGTTGGAAGTCTCCTGGATGAGAAAGAATTGTACTTCTAGTTGTACGTAGTATTATTGATTCTGTGATCATTATTTAATGAAAATTCATCTTAAAATATAATCTACCATTAGTAGACTACCCGAGTGACCCGGGCAACGCCCCGGGGTTACCTGAAGGGCCGGTGAAGAAACATTAAGAGTATAGATGGTGACATATAAATTGCATTGGTTTCTTATTCCTTAGAAGCAACATTTCAAGTAAGGGTACGTGAAAACACTTTCTAAGCAAAGTATATATATTCGAGCAGATACGGCTAACACGGATAAATCCTGGGCATCCAGAGTAGATTCCCAAATATAATTTCAACAGAGAAGACATTTTATGATTATAATAGAAAATATCTACTTATATAATTGCCTTATTCTGTCTGTGTGAAGTTCACTGTGTGAAGTTCACGGATAGATTTTGGTCAGAATGGATAAAATAAAAAAAGTGTCAAGGGATGGGAATCGAACCCACGACCTTCCGCTTACCGGGCAGATGCCATGACCACTAGGCCACATGATCACAATTTATAATTGTAACAAATAGTATTTGAATCAAAACATTCAATCGGGTAAAACACGGGCGTTGCCCGGGTCATTCGGCTAGTTAATTAATAATTGAATTTAAACACGAAATATATATCTCTCTCTACCATTAAAACAATAAAAATTAATAATACAAACGCACTTGTTTTAACACAAAGCAATTTGGTTATGATGAATATAAAAAACAAAATTTGAACCAAAAATAAATCGACGTTTGGATAATTGAATAAATTGAAAATAAATGTAAAAACTAATATTTGGAAAATCAAAATAGTATATAATATATAAATTTATATTAATGAAGAGTCGAACAGAGTTTCTTAGCGATCCCGCGTGTTCGTTGAACCATACCGATAATACGAGGTGTAACTGTTTAAAAATAGAATACAATGAAATCTAAGTAAATAATAGCTAGTATGAACACAAATATACCTCTCTGAATTTTTTTGTAGAAAGGTCTTTCCTCAATATGCTTTGAATTTATTACTTTTCAAACTTTATTGATATCAAATATTGAAAGAAACATCCCCTGATCATACAACTGATATTTGCATATCAGGAAATGCAGATTTCTTTTGTACAATTTATATGTACACCTTTGTGTACTATTTATTTAAATATATATCTCTAGAATGCATGGATACCAATATTTATTATTAGCATTTTTTTCATATATAAGTTTCAATTTTGAAAAAAGAGCTATCCCTAAATAAATCTTTAATTAAAAAGGCATAAATTGGATCAAAATATTATTTATTCTAGCAATATTTCAGTTGACTGAACGCCAACTTTTATCAAGGTATTACAATATGTTGCAATTTAAAATGTTATAATACCTTAATTAATGTTAGCGTTCAGCCAACTGAAATATTGGTAAAATAAATGATATTTTGACCCAATATATGCCTTTTCAATTATAAATTTCAATATAATGAGAAAAATAAATAACTGAATGATATATATTTTAAATTAGTTGTTATTTTCAATTTATTTTAGAAACATTTTAAATTCATTATTCATGATGAAATGTTTAAAAAATTCGAAGATCTATACACAGATAAGTTTCTTTATCTTTTTATATATGAACTCATATATAAACGCTTATATCAACTTGAGAGACTTCATGTTACAAAATTGATAAAAACGCTTTTCCTACCCCGGATGTATTTACGATTTATTTAATTGATCACGGAGAATTAATATTTATCATCATATATGTATTATAGTTTAATCATTCAATGTTTTGAAGCTGTAAATAATTATTGTAAAATTGTCGTCTAAACTTGTGCTGATGATGTTAATAAAAACTGAAAGTGAAAAGGTTTCTTTTAAGGTTTTATTATTTTGCCTAGATTTTGAGAATGTCTGCCCTTTCACAGGAAAAAGTTGTAAACATATAAGAAAAATAATTATGAATTAAGAAACCTTCTACCTCACGATTTCGTGTTTTTTTTTTATTTTTGCTCCGGGAAACTATATAACCTACTAGACGAATGACCCAGCTTCGCCTGAGAATTCCCCCGAATGCAATTTCCTTCACTGAAAGTACTTCAATAATAAATAGTAGAAGTGCCATAAAATAGAAATACAGAGGTAACAAATAAACCATAGGCAAAAGGTCTGTGTGATGGCAAAAATTGTTTAATATTAGTGTTTAGGTATTTGATTTAATTATTTTTTGGAATACATTTAGTTGTGTCAAAATCAATATAGTTGATATAGATGGCAGCTTTTACACCCAACCCCCGTGGTACCCGCCCCAGCGCATTAACCTTTGAAATTGCACGAGTTGAGTGTGTGATTGCGATGGATCTTGACTGCGATTCCCATCTTCTCATTAAGAATGAGAAAAAATAGGTTCACAAAAAAAAATTAATCCAAAATACTGGCATGTGAATATTTTTTTGTGAAAAATAAAAGGGCACATGAATATTAGGTGTACATATTTGTTTGCTAATGCGGCTGCTTTTTAAACGATTTATTTTAAAGAGATAAATAAAAAAACAAAGGCTAGAACAAAAATTGAATAAAAATACTAAAGCCATTACTTACATAAGGTAACGCTAATTTTGTAATTTCTTTTTTTAATTGCATTGTGTGCACTTACTGTAACTTAGTAATATGAATTTCTCTTTCAATACCTTTGCAAAAAAAGTAACACTCGTATAAAAATATGTTTCAAAAAAAGTACGCAAACAACTTGAAAAAAAAATGCAGAACGCTCATTAGTTTCTCAATTTATCTGGTGTTGTTTCTTCGCATCGTATTCACTCCGTGTAAAAAAAAAGTTATTCAAATAAAAAATATAAAGAGCCAAAAATACTAATCAAAATGTAAGCCAAAATTTCCTCAGGTTTATAAAAGCCGACATGCAAAATTTGGTACAATTGGTTCAGTAGTTTTTGAGTTTATCGCGGAATAATCAACGATTAATTTTATAATTTACAAAATCATACCATGGCCGAGATAACATATTCTTTTGACTAATTTTTGCTAAAACTGCATGCACGTTTGTCATCGACCAGAGTCTGTAGGTTTCAAAGACAATCCATAGTTGATGAATAGTTCAACGATTTCTCTGAAAAAAAAGAGTATTCTTTATTAGTTTTTGATCAATTTAATGCTATAAAAATTTCCAAAGATTTTAAAACTTTTACTTAAAATATGATGCATTTATTTATACATATCAATTTAAAGCGCTATGTCTTCCTAGGGAATTTTGCACTCTCATACATTTTGCCTTTACATTTGTCTATACATATTTGCAATAATATTAGACCGTAATGGTCATACGATATCAACAAGTTTAAAAGAGAGAAAAAAACGAAAACAGAGAATTGTGTACAAAAGAATGAAATGTGTGAAAATATCCTCAATCGACATAATAAAAATGATCGATTTCTTAAAATGTGTGTGCAGAATCATATTAAAAATGATGAATGTATGTTATAGTTTTGCAAATAGCAAATTTTCCACTTATAATCGTGAGGTAATAAAACTTCCAAACAATACAAATAAATAGGAAATCTGGCCATCTATGCAACTATCACCTTATGTGTTCACTCTCAGTATGAAATCCATCTATGCAAATCTCACCTAATTTTATGTATTATTTTATTTCAATTTAAAGCGCTATGAAGAAGAGTCGGAGGATGAGTGGGTAACACCCTCGATTCCCGACAGCCATGAACCGGGATTGAATTCCGCGTTTACATTTTGTTTAATATGTGAATAACCATCACATATTTAATTGTTGCAATTATCATAAACTAGGTTGCTCTTTTTGAGCGGTACCTAATAAATTGATTTTGGAACAAGAAAGCGCTATGTCCCCCTAGAAACACTTGCGCTGTCATACATGTATGCCTTTACATTTGTCTTTACATTTTACATTAAATTAAGGAAGTATAGAACAATGAGAAAGAGATTTAAAAAAGGAGAAAAAAAGAACTGTGTACAAAAGAAAGAAGTGCCTGGCAATATGTTCAATCAGCATAATATAAATTATCAGTTCCTTAAAAGATATTATCTATTTACTATATATTATTTACTCAGTATAAATATCTATCTATGCAAATCTCTCCTTACGAGCTTACTATCAGTATAAATAGCCATCTCTCCTCCCTTTCTCAATCTCAGATCATAATTTTTTGCCTGTTGAATAGCGAGAGTTCGAAAGATCGTGGTGTTTTCGTAAAAAAAGAAACATTTTGCGTAAGGTTTTTCGAATGTTTTTATAAGACAAATAAAATTGACAAAAGTAAATTTGAGATTGATTGACTAAAGGTTAAAAATCTACATGGATATTTCGGTAGAATAGGCCGGCAAAAGGTCGTTGGCAGCCAGCTCACGTCGCGGCTGACTAAGTAATGTGAGAATGTCTTTATTTCTTAATGGGGAGCACATTACTCCTCTGCTACTGGGGCTATTTTCTCTACAGGGAATTGTCCTCCCGACATCTTAATCTCCCTTCACCTGGCTATCGTTGCATCAGACACAGTATGTTAGTTAACTTGATAAAGGTTGGCGTTCAGCCAACCGAAATATTTGTAAATAAATTTTGTGATATATATGTTATATTCAATTTAAATATTTTTAAAGGGAAAAAAATACATAAATATATATTTTTATTTGACCAAAAAAGAAAAATAATCTTTTTAATTATTATTTTGTTCTGTTATATATAGATTTGTTTTTACTTTTGGGTTGGTTAAATGGTTAATAAACTTTTAAACATTACTAAACAATAATTGATTAATTTACATTTTTATTCTCTCCCCCCCCCCCCCCGAATATAAGATATATGTGATATATATATTTTTTATAAACCTATTTTTTTATTTTTCTTACTGAGAAGATGGGAATCGCAGTCAAGATCCATCGCAGTCAATCACTCAACTCAGGAAATTTCAAGGGTTAATGCGTTGGGGCGGGTACCTCGAGGGTTGGGTGGAAAATCTGCCATCTATTTAAACTATATTGATTTTGAAAAAACTAAATGGATTGCGAAAAAAATAATTTAATCAAATACCTAAACACTAATATAATTTAATTTTTTCCATCACACACACTTTTTCCCTTATGTTTATGTGTTACTTATGTATTGCTATTCTATGGCACTTCTATTCTTTATTATTGATGTACTTTCATTATGAAGAAAATTGCACTCAGGGGAATTCTCAAGCGAAGCCGGGTCATTCGTCTAGTTATATATAAAATAATTATGTATATTGTAATCAAAATTGTATATGGTAAAATACCTAAATTTTGTCCTTATTTCCCTTATTTCCTTTTCCTTATGTCCTTATAAAGGCATACATTGGATTAAAATATAATTTATTTTACTAATATATTTGATCCAATATATGCCTTTTTAATTAAAGATCTATTTATGGATTTCTCTATTTTCAAAAATTCCATATATATATATTAATTTTTTCCTACATGAAGTCAGAATCGATAAAAAGAATTCATTTT